GGTAATAATTTTGGTAAAATCGGTCAATAATCGATTAGGAGGCAGCGGTAATTTGACTGATTGTCATTTCTTCTTCAATCGATGCCATTGGAGCCACCACACTGCGCTCATCTCCTTGACTGAAATAAGTGCCTTTAAAAGGGTATTTGGTTTCGTTTAAAAATTTTAAAGGTCATTTGAAAGGTTTAAAGGTCATTTAAAAGTCATTTAATGGTCAAAGGAGGGGTTATCCACAATTTCGGTGCTTTCATCGTTATTTGAATTCCAATTTGTCGACTGACACGTTTCACCGGCCAGGGACGCGCGCGGTCGCGAAGCGGTCCCGTTTAAGCTAAGTGAGCCTAAACGAGTGAAAGAAGCAAGGGGAGGGGGGACCAACCACCTACGGCATTCGTTTCAAACGACGTTGATATACTTCTACAGAAGGACCCTTTTAGATGCCCCCTCCAAGGCTTAGTGGTAAGAATGTGCAGGGAAAACAACCGGCTCACCTGATCGCTGGGGACGCCCCATTCTCCTTGACTTCAGTGATCTTGGGTGACTTCACTCCATTACTGTCCTGATAGAAGAGAATGAGCGTCTCAAGGTTGGGAACCTGAAAAATAAAGAAATATCCAAGTGGTGGGGCCATATTTGGCGGGAAAGTCACCTGTTGGGCGTGTACGCTACTTATTAACGTCTCGATCGATTCACGTCGCCCCGGATCGTAGACTATCGTATCTGGCGGCCTAAAACCAGAAAAAAAAAAAACTACAGGGTAAAAGGTGACTCATCTGGGTAGACCGAAGTGCGCGCTTACCCATTCATCATCCTCCTGATTGCGTTGTCGATAAAAGGGCTTCGTATGGGGCTACTCCATGACGAGTCGTCTGCATCTGACGAATCGGACACAGATTCCATAAGTCGTGCAGATCTGGGACGAATCACTGATATTTTCTAGTATGGTGTATGGAGTGGTATTTTTACACTCGATCTAGCAAGCGTAGTGGCTAAAGGCGCAGCATCTCACTTATCATCATAGGATCGGATTCTTTATCGGTACAATTCTAACCGGGCTTGTCTAAGAAGATTGTCTCTAAACACAGAATCACTGAACAAGCGTGCCGTTCGAAGATACAGTCCATGTTGGTCGTGTAGGCGGAATCAGGCCTACCATTCCTTGTTCAGCATAGGGCGCTCATCCTTTCATAGGAAGAAGGAGCACGGCATGTCCTGCCCTGGGGAAATTCGTTGCCAAATGCAACCCCCATCCCTTCAAGATGTCCTCCTCTGGTACACCCCCTTCCTCATAGCCTTCCTACCTCCTCCTCTGGTACCACCCCACTTCATCATACCCCTCCTACCTTCCAAAATTTTTCCGACTTCCACTCAGGTCTCCGGATATTCCGAATATTATTTTTCAGTTTCCCCCAAAATTCCCCCGAAAAAGCTACTGCCGAGTGGGAAGAGGGATTCTCAAGGCACTCGAACCCACCTCCTCCATCCAGTGACCAAATATGCCACCCCCCCCCCTTCCTCGCTTGACCTACGACGTGTGTCTGCGAGTAGACAGGAAGTACAATGGTAGGCCTGATCCCACTCATAAGAAACATACAGCTATCCGTTGTTCATCAGTTGTAAAACACAATGGGAAGTCGTATTAGGCCACTCGGAAGGGAGGAGTCGTACTTCTACACGGGAAAACATTCCCGATTGCTACATTTTTCCATTGAGCGGTGCTTTTTCGCTTATTCTATGCTATTAACCACCCACTAGTGCCTCGAGATGATTACCAATAGGACGAGAAATCTGTCAGACCTTGGTGCTGGGCTGCCGTTTTCCTTTCGTTGTAGTTTTTGGTTATTTTTTATGAGAAGTGAATCAGTGGCTCTGAGCAATCTCTTCGACACATCGGAGTTTCGTCGCGATGATGGTGGTGACCTGCTGAACGTGAAAAAATCAGCAAAAAATGCCTGCGAATTTGATTGTCCATAAACCTTGCCACAGTGTGGGGTCTTGTTCATTTGACTGCAAAGCTTTAGCTACAACATCAATACCCAACTTTGGGACTTTGGTGCACTTTGGCTTGGTGGGGGCACTCAGTAGTAGTTAGCGAAGTCTGTACAACCCACCCTGTGAATACATGTAAATTCCTGCGACCAGAGGGGCTCACTTGTGTAAAATAGGCAGCTTTACAGGAGCCAACAAGTTTCAGTGAAGGGAGGCCTGTTAGGTTCTTTTAAGATGAACTAACAGTAAGGACCAGCGAAAGTGCAAAATACATCCTCCAAGCCCAACAACGTTTAGAACATGTCTTAGTTGGCAGGATCCCAGGTGACAGATGGCAAGTGGTAAAAGGCGCTGTTATCATAAATTCAATCCCGTATCGATTCCCAGCCGATGGCTGGCAATTCAGCCCGCTTAGGGTTAGCTAATGAGCTCTAACTTCACCCCTGAAGATAAGGATATTCGCTCTACGTCTGCTGGG